ACTACATGTATTAGAATATTGCTTCATGTTCTTACGGCAGTAACAGTCCAGGTGATAATGCTAAAACAAATTACTTTTTAAAACAGTGGAACTAATAACAATCTCTTTGGACTAAGAAAATTACAATGTTACCTGTAGATAAGATCTTGTTTTCCTTAATAGCTCAAAGATAATTTAGCTTACAAAGAATTGGGACCAGAAATATTATCAAGTTCTAATCGCGGCCCTTAATAAAGAGGGTCCACTTTGTCAATTTTTTTAAGGAGACTTAAATAGAGGCAATTAAAGTCCATAAAAATGAAAATTTGGGAAACTGATTTCTAGTAAGTTTAGGCTTCTCCTTTATACCTATCAAGTGTTAATATTAACTAATTAACTATAATTCCAGAAATTATAAAATAGTCATGACTAAAATGAACTAAAATTACTTCTTGTTGTACCTGTTTCTTCCTTGGATGCATAACAAGTTCTACAGTAGGCACAGCTGCTTGGTTTCAATGTCTGACACAGCATCAAAGAAAAAGTACATCGCTCTGAAAAGATGTCACAACAGATATGTTCACCATTAAAAAACAAAAAAATGCTTCCATCTTCTGATTGAAAGTATTATGACACACCAAGAAATAAATCAAACGGCATGCACTGTTATTGTTGATTGCATTCTTGGCATTAAGTCAAATTTGACTATTTATGCCTAGTCTGGTTTTTTAGTTTAATCCGTCAAAGTAGTTGAGTCGTAATATTTCCTAGCTTGGAAACTGTGCACTGTATCGTCCCGGCCAACCCTGCTACGTACATTGAGCGAGTTTATCAATCCTTCGGATATAGGCCACTCATGCACTGTTTGTCTGTTCCCCTCAAATTATGATTTTCACCTGTCTAAAGTTCATGCAAATTTGGTAAAAATCAAACTAACACATAACCACTTCAATTTGTGTGGAATTGTTTTCAATCCCTGACATATAGCCCCCTCAAAAAAATCTTGTTTGACCTTAGGCTAACATTCACCCTAAAATTATTGGGAAAAAAAAGAGATTCATGTCATGGCCCCCAACCTTTTCAAAGTTTCTTAAACATACATCAAATTATGTAGACAGAAACTTTGAACTTGAAGGCTTTTTGGAAAAAGGTAAATGTGATAATCAGCAAGATTGAGTCCATTGTTTATTTTCATCATTCTGAAACCTCACAGTACACATAACGGATATCATATAAACAAATACAATTTAAATAGTAAAGGTTTCGAAATGGATCTGAATCTCCATGGAATTGATATTTAAGACACATTACCTGCGCTCCAGTTTCTGAAATCGCCGCCATCTGAATTTTTCATTCTGCCCTCTACGATGATAATGCGCGTATAATATACAAGTTGGCAGTCAACTGAATTACTGCTCATGTCGTCTGCTATCAGATTTTCATAATTTAAGATTCTCTTGCTGGGGAGAGGGCAGTGGCGAATCCGGTGGGGGGGCTAGGGACCCGGGCCCCCTCCCTTGGCAAAAAAAAGAACACGGTTAAAAACAGGTAAAAATACGTAAATTTTACCTTTTTTTGTTAAAAAGAAGACGGGCCCTGGCAAAAAAGAAAGAAAGTATTTTGTTTCTGCTCAAGGGGGGGGGGGGGGGGGGGAGGGGGGGGGGGGGGCTAGGTTTTGAGTTTTAAAAAATAGTGGGCTACCCCCCCCCTTCCCGTTTATTCACCGACTGGCTCTTTCGCCGCTAACTGATAAACCCTTGCCGCCAGCTGGATCCGCCCCTGGGAGAGGGTACAAATCAGTAATAATAATAATAATAATATTCCGCTTTTATAAGCTCTTTATAGATATACTATTGTCCGCACACACTGTATGCACAATCTCCACTCCCTGGGGAGCATTCCAGCCAGTAATCTCTCACCGCCAAAGGAAAAGGCTTCACATTTGCAGCTACCAACCAAAGTAGGCCTATACTGGCTTGATGTCAATCCAGTTGGGTCATGGCCTGGGGGCTGGGGCACTCGTATATAAACAGTTTCATTTTTAATTTATTGAGGGAAAATAATTATAAAGACCCAATACCGGTTCATTATACTCTAAAATGAAAGCAGGTGCATAATTCCAAGAGCTTAATGTATTAATTGTTCCGCAGGGGTGGGCGTGGCGGGGAATGAATTTCCCCTTTTCATCTCAGATTTTTTTTCTCTATAGTGGGAATCGCCCTAGCCCTCTTGATGTTTTGGTAAAGGTAGGGGGGGGGGGGGGATGGTTCACAGCCTTTTTTTTAGTTTACCCCTATAATTTTGTATTATTCATGGTTATTTTATTTCTTTAAGGGGGGGGGGGGGCATTACTGTTTTGGTCACCTTGGATTCGTCTATATATTATGCAGAAAGTGCATGGTGACATTATGTAAATGCTTTAACTCGCCTTTCTTACTTTGGACAGTCGCTTAAACAACAAAAAAATGTTGGCTACTCCACTAGAGAGAGCCTGAGGGAGTGAGAGAGAGAGAGAGAGAGAGAGCGATAGCGCGCTAGATAGAGAGAGAGAGAGAGAGAGAGAGAGAGGGGGGGGGGATAAATGGGATTGGGGGAGGGGTGGGTGAGGTGACACCTAGTCGACTCAATAATTTGATAAACATTTTACCCTAGCAATTAATTGACGAAAAACATTATAATCATACTGAATATCATTTAATTTGGTCTGAAAATTCGAATTTTAGGGACTTGTATTTCGAATAACTATGTAATTTTCTCATTGACATAATAAAATCTTTATCTTTTGTTTAAAACAACAAACAAAACAATTTGTTTCTTAATTCAAACCACGCCCCTGCATGGTGATTCAAGTATTCAACCCACACCCATCTCCATTATTAATAAGCACTTTGTTCAAGTCTAATGCTTTAACTGCTATGAAAATTCAGAAAAAGTTTGCATTCTAAACACATCGGGATTTTGGAATTTCAAATTTCTTTCAAATTGGAGGGAAGGAGGGAAGGAGGGAAGGAGGGAAGGAGGGGGGGGGGAGTGGGACTATTGCTCTTAAACCCAGCCAGGATCCTACAATCTTCTTTCAAAAGGAAAAATATTGTATTGGGGTCAAAACTCGTCTGTAAGAAAAAATCTCTACACCCTTTCCCATAACCATGATTGGCCTGTGCATGTATGCAGTGTCTTCTCACAAGTCAATAACCTTGGGTTGCTATAACTTTTCTCTGAAGAGAGAAATATGCTTCACCTTGGCACAATACATTGTCCTTGTACATGGGCAAAACAATTACAAAATACACCTCTCCGATTTGTTTTATGATGGTAAATAATTTTTATAAAATTCATTTTTTTGGAAAAACATATCACACAAAATCTTGTTTTCTTACTTAAAACTGTGATGTTGAATAACCCAATTCAATTAAAATCGGTAACGAAATGAACACAATTTTTTTTTCATATGACAACAAACTCTTGGTGGTTCGAGGCTTTCATGAAATAACATTTACAATATATTATTTGTCATCAAAAGGGCCGAATAAACAAGGTGTGCTTAGTTTGTGAATTAGTGGCAACCAAAACCAAACCCTCTCTTTTCTGATTTTGGCCCTCCGCCCAGGCACGTAGCCAGAGTTTGATGTTTTTTTTTTTTGGGGGGGGGGCACATACTTGTAATCGATCGAGGTAAAAAAAGGGGTCTAAAAAAGTTCAACCGATCTTGGATTTAAAAAAAAAAAAAAATTGGCGGGGGGGGGCAGCACATAATTATGTGCGCAACTGTCTCCTCATTCGTTTCATCATATTGCTCCTCCTATCACTCTCTCTTCTCTTTGCTATCTCTTTTACCGTATCTCTCTTCTCTCTTTTCTTTGCTGTCCCTTTTTCACATCTCTCTAGTCTTATCTCTTTCTTCCTTTTTTTCTTTCGTATTTGACCCCGAAAATCGCGTTGAATAATCCCAATTCAATTAAAATCGGCATCGAAATGAAGACAATTTTTGTTTAATCTCTCTTCATCTTTCTATTTTCTCTTCTCTATACTGTCCCCTTTTCACATCTCTCTTATCTCTTTCTTTTCTCTCTCTCTCTCTTTCTTTCCCTATTATCATACCTCTCTTCTCTTTGCTGTTCCTTTTATCATACCTCTCTTCTTTCTTTCTATTCTCTCTTCTCTGTCCCCTTTTTCACATCTCTTTTCCTCTCTCTTCCTTTTATCATACCTCTCTTTCTATTCTCTCCCTCCCTTTTCTTTGCTGTTCCTTTTATCATACCTCTCTCCCTCTCTCTTTTCTTTGCTATTCCTTTTATCATACCTCTCTTCTTTCTTTTTATTTTTCTCCCCTCTCTTCTCTTTGCCGTTCCTTTTATCATACCTCTCTTCTTTCTTTTTATTTTTCTCCCCCTCTCTTCTCTTTGCCGTTCCTTTTATCATACCTCTCTTCTCTCCATCCATCTATCTTCTATCTCTCTTTGTGATCTCCTTTCTATTTCCGTTCTCCCTACTTCTCTTCATTTTGCTTTATCTCTTCAATCATATCTCTCTTTTTTCTGCTTTCTCAATCTATGTCTATGTCTCTCTCTTTCTTAATATAATTGAGTTTATTGATTTCACATTTCACATGCAGAAATACTACAGATAACAAAATATACATAAAATACATATTGTTTCATAATTAAAAAAAATAAATCATTATACAAATGTTGAAGTGACTGCCATTTAGTAAAACATGTGTTATACATACCAGATATAGAATAAATATATCTCATCTTCATAATATTGAATAATTTCCTTCTTCAAAGAACTAAAATTTGGAATTTTGTTATTAAGCTTTTGAACAAATAGTTGATGCTTAATCAAGTCACCATGCAATTTAAAGCATCGTTTCTTTTGTCTTCAAAATTAAAAATTACATTTTCTAAATTAAACTCTATCCGTAATCGAGAACCTTCATTTATCCATTTCACCGTTTCATTCCAGATTGATTTATTGATTTCACAATTGTAAAAGAAATGTACAATATCTTCCACCTCTTTTTTACAAAACGAAAATTTATCCTTACTCACGATTTCATCTTATACAGTTGCTTGTTCAAATACAAAATTCTATTTACTATCTTACACTGAAAATATCTCAAACCGATAACTGGAGTAAAACGAAATATCATTCTATGATATTTCTGCATTCTTAGACATTCAGGGGTATAATCTAAATGTCGTTCCCATTTCAGACATATTGAGTTCACACAATTTGTTTTTCCCAGAAAAGTTTTGTAAATATATTGACAGCCTTTAATGTCATGTACTAATATTTTGATATCTAACACCATTAGAGGATCTACTACATTTTTCAATATGCATTTGATATCGACACTTTATAGCTTGAGTTACAGAATAATAAGACAAATAATTTAGTTTCAAGCAGAATTTTTGTTCACATTGTTCACGAGTCAGTTTTCCCTTATCATCAATCAAATCATTTATACATCTCATGCCTTTTTCATACCAAGATTTAAAAAATACAGATTTTTTTCCCAATTTTTATTGAGCTATTTCTCCACAACGGATAAGTTAACCAATCATCTCCCTCTATTATAAGACTCAACATAAACAGAGCGTGAAACACATGTCTCCAAAAAGGATTAGCAACTTCATGAGACAATGCCAAAAAATATTCATCACCAAACCCTACTACAAATGGTTTTGTTAAAAACGATTGCATTAAATGATTAACATCTTTACATGTTCCTAAAACCATTCTTCGAAGCTATGTTAACTTTAGTGACATCTTAAAAAAACTCAATATCTGGCATTTTAAGTCCCCCTTCTTCATATGTGCCAACAACCTGTTTCCTACTAATTTTATCTGGCTTATTCTTTCTTATAAAGTTAAAGAACTTAACTTTTATGGTTTTCATTAACTTAGCTGAAGGATCTGGGATTGCCATAAACAGATGATTAAACTGTGGTAACAGTAATGATTTAGCAACTGTAACTCTACCAAGAACCGTTATGTTCCTTTTGATCCAAGAAATCATCTGGTGTTTTACTTTGTCAAAAATTCTATCATAGTTATAATCTGGTATTTTGTCAATAACAACATGACAGTCAGCACCAAGATAACAAAAAAAATCATTATGTACATAATTCACTTGTCTTCCTTCTAATTCTATATCTTCATTACATTTTGAGGCCCCAATCCAAATTGTGTTTGTTTTTTGGATATTGATCTTCAGCCCACTACAATTTCCAAATAAGTCCAAAACATGTAGTGCATTACAGAAACTAGCAGCTGTGCCATCAATAAACAATATTGTGTCATCAGCATACTGAAGGATCTTAAATTCCTTTGAACCGACAGAAATTCACTTCACAGAGTGTGAATTGCAAATTAACAACCCAAGAATTTCGGCGCACAACAAAAACAAGTATGGAGAATTTGGATCCCTTGCCTACATCCCCTTCCTACACGAAATCTAGAAGTTATTTGCCCATTAACCATAACACTAGAGTATGCATCACTACGCAATATCTTTATCCACTTTATGAACGAACTACCAAAGTTAAAAAAGGAAAGTGTTTTATACAAAAAGTGGTGAGAAACAGTATCGAATGCTTTTTCAAAATCAATTAACAAAATCATTCCAAGAACATTTTATTTTTCAGTATAAGCAATTATGTCATATAGAACTCTAATTATTTGTTTCTTTTTTTTTAATGGCAAATTATGTAACCATTGTCACTCTCATTGAGGGAATGTTGTAAAACTCAACATAATCTATATTTGAGGGGGAGGGGGGGGGGGGTTACAGATTTATTTTAAAAAGTTTGATCAACAAGAAGCATGCATATAGACACTTTAAACATAGACAATTGCTGAAATAGCAAAGGCATATACAATCATGTACACCAACAAAATAATTAGATCAGAGTAGCCTACATACAACATCATTGCAAATTTTAAACTCAATATAATTTTTTAGGGATATCAGCCCATTATGTTCCATTCTCGAACAAGAAATTGTTTTGTTTTTTAAACAATTATTAAAGAGCACTTTTGAGAGCTCTACTATTTAGTAAATAATAGACAACTAGACGAACATAGTATAGTGATACGTGCATGCATACGTTTACAATCAGTGCGTAGTGTGTTACATGTGAATACCCAAGATGAAATATAGTTCTGATCATAAGATATAAAACATTGAAACATGTATCTACAAAGACCACCGTGAACAGATATGTTTTGAGTAATTGTTTGAAAGAACTAGCGGAGGAAGCTTGGCGAAGGAGAAGAGGAAGATTGTTCCAGAGAGATGGGCCTGCGTGGGAAAGATGTGGTCACCCCAAGAGTCAGTCGGGATCGGAACTTGAGATGGCAAAGAGTCTGCATGGCCTTAGTCTGCCAAAGCGTGGAGAACTGGAAACATACCTGAAAATATTTTAGGTTTTAAGTTACAATCAGCACAACAGCAAATAGCAATCATTTGTACGAAACTGACAAAATCTATTGAGACTGGATACTCAAGAGTACTGGATACATGTTCATGAGGTCATGGAATCATTTTTCATCTCTGCACCAGCGTTGCAATATACCGTAAGCTATTTATTAAGTGCCTCCATCACTGTAAGAATTTTTCTAAAATGCACTGTTGAGATATTCTGTAGAAATCTGGGGTAATTTGTGATAATTTTAAACTGGCTTATACTCCCTTAAAGGGATCCGGTAACTTTGTCTCAGATTCTGAAATAAAATTCTGGATTTAGCTCATGATGCAATGATAATTATAAACCTTTAGGTCAGTCAGGAACCCCATGACTTTTACAAGCCGATCGCCTGTCTGATTATCAAGATATTTATGATTGGAATTACAAATTTTGAAAACCGTTCGCCTGACGGTTTTCATAACACTACAGTCTATTGGGGAAAACGAGTTTGTTAAAACCGGTCACTCAAAGATTTTTACTTTTTTGAGGAACTTCTTGATCATTTTGAAGCGCAATTTTTTTAGGGCTTCAATATTACACCATATCACAGACACTGATAACACGTAGGGCCTTGTATCTCAGATTTAACATTGTTAAACGATCCCTTTAAGGAATATTATGTGATCATTTCTCGAGTCTTGAGGCCTGTTGCAAGAAAGTTCTGGATATCTTATTCGTACCCTTGATAAAAATACCAACTTGCTTTCATTTGAACGAGATGTCTACGTACAAGAATTAATGACGGCTTCCTGTAACAGACCTGTCTTACGTAAGTTCTCTTAGTAAGCATTCATAATAATATATCCCTTCTTATCATAGGCTACTCATTCTTGCAGATATACTAATTTGCATGAATTAATTCTATTAAGGATGAAATGGAACAGTATGTTTGTTTTATGTTTATACGTTTATTGTTCACTTTCTAGTCTTCTTTTTGACAGTACATGTACATGTATAAAACTGGATTTGTGAAAATACATCTATACATCATCCTCTACGATGACTTGAAATGAAACATAAAATACAACGAAGGAAATATTCTTAAAACAACAGCCTTGAGCGAAGTTTGCCACATTGGGTCATTTTCATTTGGGGTCATTCATGAGGTTGAGAGAAAATATGATTGAAGTTCTGGATGTGTTCTTTTACATATAGAATATCAAATCAACTGTTAAAGATATAGCTGAATACTGAAAAAAATTACTGCTGTTTCAGTACTTTTTAGAAGCATAACATGGACATCACAGTTATTTAATATTACATTAACGCTCATGTCTCAAGTTTATTGGACTTTTAAAACTTAAAGATAAACTTGAGTTCTGGTAAAAAAAAGAAAATGAATTCTCACAGAATCTAACGAAACTATACACTGAATGTTCAAGATTACAAATAAATGTCATGTGCCAAACAATTTTTGAAGAAAATGTATACTGGCTGAGTAATGAGCATATAAAGATAAGGAAATCAGGGTAGTACTAGCCCCGACACCATGTGTGTTGTCCCATATACATCTTTCTGTGTAAGTGATTGTTACTTTACCAAGACTCTGCCAAATTTATGATGATTTTGATGACTCCAGAACCTTGCATTACACACCATTACTTGATCAACTTTTCTGATCCATTCCACACCTTTTCTTTCACAATGCAATCGCATTACCAGAACTCAAGTTTATCTTTAAATCTAAATAGAGTTGGTTATCCAGGGCTGTCGTTTAAAGCCGGTAACCGGTAAAACTTGCCGCCTATTCACTCGTTTCTTACCGGCTATAATTAAAAAAAAAAAAAAAAAAAAAAAAAAAAGAAGAAGAAAGATTGAGTATGGTGCATCATCTCATCAGTTTAATTAAAAATTACAAAGTAATGGTACAAAGTGATAAATAATTATCAACTTAATAACTTTTCTTATGAGTTATGATTGTTCATGTAATATTAAACATGAACAATATGTGTGTTTATTACAATATATGTGTAATACAAGGTAGGAAAGATAACTACAAATTTTCTTCTTAGGTATGCACCAGATTGCACGATTTCAAGTGGAAAATCCCAAAAGGTCCCTACCGTAGGAAGGGGGGACACCCCCCTCCTACACCCTCCCCCCCTCGGTCGCTTCGCTCCCTCGCAGTGATGGTACCTCCTATAAAATTCAAATTACCTCCTTCAAAAATAATTAACAAGACCCCTGGGTTATCTGAGATATCATTGGCAAACTGTTTGTTGTTATATCAGGCAAACATGTCCAGAAACTTTACCAAATCATATGAAATGAGGCTTATGACCTGACAGAATATAGAGAACACTATAACAATATTAACAGAATGTTCACTTCTACTGCTTTTATCAAAATACATTAAAATTATGAAAGAGACAGCTCCATACAGAATCTAGTTTTGTTGTTGTAATGTAATTCCTGATTGAGAAGAAATGTAGGTCCAGTGACCTTTAATATAACAACAGTACCTATAGTAGTGTTATAATAAATATTGATGGTTCTAATTCAGCCTGCGTAATGGACATTTTGTACTACAAGTCCCTATTATAGTTTAAATAATTTGACCAACACTTGGAAAAAATTGAGAATTAAGATCACAACATTGTTGATGCCACAAACATGTACCGGTATATGGTCTTGCATATCTGTTAATCCTCAAAGTGCAGTGGGTAGATTGACTCCTTTGAGTGTGGGATACAAGTGTATCTCATACCTTTGGAAGTTTTGTCTCAAGAATTTCAATAATTGTAATAATTTTGCTTAAAGCCAATGAAAAACATTTCATACACAGTTACTTCAAACAAAACATCAATAATCACTAGTCCTGTTAATGGAATGTTGTAGAATTGGGGGGGGGGGGGGGGGGTATAAACTTTCTCAAAGTTTGATCAAGATACATACAACAGCTATTTCAGTAAATTGCTAAAATTATGTATGCAACACCATAGCAAGTAAGAAAAGTAACAAGTAACAAATGATATCTACATCCATTTCAAATATTATGATTTTGAGGAATCCCACAAGACCATGGCTTGGGTGCTACATATAAGTTACTATGTATTTTTATGCTTTTGCTGAGTAGCGGGCTATTGGCATTCAAACAAAAGGTAGTGTGTAACTCTTAAAAAAGGGAATATTTTGCAGTGCTTGTGAATAGAACTCTAATACTGGGATTTAATTGAGGAGTTTCAGGCAATATGTACCAAGTTTGTATTGTAATCTTTCAATCGAACTGAAAACCTGACTTCGAACTTGTTGTGATAGTCATCCAATTTTTTCTAGAAAAACATTTTTTTTTTTCACCGTCGCATATTTCTTCATCTCACTACATGAATTATAACATGTGGGGCAATGCACATTTGTATCCACCCACGTACGGCAATAATCCCAACACAATTATGATCGACTCGGCAGTGACAGAGCACAATTCCGGGCCAAAAATTTCATATTAAGCATCATAGGAATTACATAAAAATTTATCAGATACAAGATTATAATATAACATTCACATTAGAAATATTTTTTCTGATGTCAGAACTTCCGATGGATGATTTGAAAAGCGTTGAAAACGAGTGTCATTTTCAGGACGATGCGATCTATATGATTCGAACCTCTCTCTCATAATCCTACCATCTCAAATTCATGGATCAGCAAACTTGGTCAATATATCACTGCATATAGATATAGCTCAGTAAGTTAACAACAGGTCCTTACAAAAAGCATATTTAGACCCCTTTCTTTCCTAAAGACCCTGTAATCTATCACATGTATATGATAGAAGCCTTACCAGAATGGATTCGCTGAAGGTCGCGTTGAAATTCCGGTACTGTCATACGACCTCCGCGTCCTGCACCAAGCAAAAGAGACAATGATAGCTGTAGAACAATGTAGAACAATGGAATAGAAAAGACAAAGGAAAAGAGTACTTCTTGATAAGATGACAAAATAAACCAGCAGCAAATGTAATCTTGACTTCTGCTAATAACGGAAAGAAAGTCTCATTCCCATTTGCAGCAGTATGGCAAGCCAAAAGGGAAACAAAACGTGGTCATTCGTCCATCTTAAAATCATGCAAATATAATTTGTCTTTTTTTGAAGTCATGTCTCTTTTTAAGGCTTTCATCTGTTTTCTTTTGTCTTTTCACAAATCATTCACCTAGCTATTTCCAAACTATTCGTCTTCTAAACAACCATCAGTCTTCTTGTAAACTGTTTGTCTTTACAGAAATCATGTTGATATGGTGATTATTTTACCTGACTGCTAAGAAAGCATAAATGCTTGTAAGTAAGCAACCAGACGGTTGACAGCTTTAGGTCCTCTCCGAGGGACCTGGTAATGAGGATTAATGCCTTACCAAAGGGCACTAACGCATCGACTTGGTTTCGAACCCGGGTCACCGGATCACGAGACTACTGCTCTACCGACTGAGCTATCGCGCCTGTTTCCTTTTGCATATGATAATTTGTTGAAAGATGAATTATTTTCCTTTTGCAAATTATATTTTGCTGAAAGATGAATCATTTTTAAGAAAAATGATTTTTTAAAGGATGAATGAAAGCAAGGGTAATATTATACATGAACTACTTTGTAGGCCCCTTGAGCATCCCTATAATTGATACTTGTGCAATATAAATGTACATGTAGTTATTTCTGTATTTCAGCCAATATTTTTTGCATAAAGATATTTTCAAGGATTTAAGGACAAATTTGTTACCGGTAATTGTTAAATTTGATCTAAAGGGAAGGTTGAGTTCTGGGAAGAGGTGAAATATAAATTGATAGTGTTATCATTGTATTATGCAAGTGCATGTGGAAGAACGTTCCCTGAAAAGCATGGCTCTTCAAATGCCTTAATATTCTAAATATGGCATGCAATCATAAAAATCGGCATTATAATCAAGCAAATTCCACTAGTTTGTAATACATGTGGAAGGTCCATCTATAACGTACTGTACAATATGGATTTAGAACTGCTTTAAGCTAATTTCTCTCCAAGTGCATTCACTAGCAGAACAGAAGATTAGATATGATTATGATAAAGACTAGATGGATCTTCGACTAGCTGCGCACAGTCGAAAATGATGCCTCCACCAAAGAGCGATTTTTCAAACCAAAACAGTAGCTATTTTTAAAATTTGAGTGTGATTGTAACCCATTAACAGGTTCTCAGAATATCTTGATTACAAGCTATTTTACAGATGACCCTTTAATCTTTGACCAATTCATAACCCTAGAATTCAAATCAGTTTATTGGCTCTGCATACATACATCTCCTGAGTATTTGATAGTCCGTCGGCTCCAATGATAATGCGATCACAAGCTATTTTTTCATACATAATGAGCCCCATGACCTCAAAATCTAATCAGTTCATTGGCTCTGCAAGATACATACATGATTAAGTTAAGTAAGCGGGAATCCATCAATCAGTTCTTGAGATAACGCGATCACAAGAATGGGACGTACAGACAAGCTGAAAACAATGCCTCCGGCTACTTCATTTCAGAGGCATAAAAATATGTTTCTCATTGCACCTTATGTCCATTTTTAACTAAGATAATGAGCCTTTGATTTTACTAAGAATACAAACAATTCATCTTTCTTTGACCATCAGAAAAATAATTTTTGCTCTCATTAAATAATTAGGTATGTGCAGGAGACTCATTCAAGACATTAGACATTAAAGCACAAATTACCAGTACAATATTTCTGAAATTATATTACAGGAGCTCAAGAATTGCCATACACATCACATTAAAATCTTCTTGTTGTTCCTAATGATACGATAACGTTGTTATAACTTACCGGTACATGTACAAAATGTTTTTGCATGTATGACATGAAGGGATCCGCCATGAATATGCACACTTCTTTCACAAGAAGTGTACTCTCTAAAACAGAATGAGAATTGAGGGGTATAGGTCAGTACGTGGTTCACAATGGAAAAAGGCGGCAGGTTTGATTTTTTTAAATGACAGGTTAGAAAATAAGTTCAAATTGCATCAGAGAGCATCTAAGAATCCTGGAGCCCACAAGTCATGTAGGCCCTAGAACATGGCTGCAAGGGACTTTTACAGCACTTTATGTCAATCATACTCCTTCCAAGTTGCAAATTTAAATGTTTGAATTTTGGTTTGTGGACTTCCCTGGCATCTAGGCATAATGATTCATCATAGTGCAATTCGGTCACCACTAAAGATCTGAATTCATGTTCTGGCTTAATTAGAGCATGATTTCCTTGACAGCAGTGAAATAAATATTCCACCTGGAAGAAGGTTAGAGCCTGTGCTACAATAAATATAGTGTGCACATTGTGGAAGAGAAAAGAATCCAGTAAAGAGCGTACTAATAAATGTACAGTGCGTGCATGTAGAGAAATTGTGTAAATCTAGATTTTCATTACAAGAAGCCCTGTCCCCCCCCCCCCCCCCAACAACAAAAAAAATGCCTCATAGGCGTTCTGGACCGAGGTTGCATCTCTTTAGCCTTAGCACATTTCACACACTTCTTAACATAAGGACCAACTTCAGTATTCATATTTGGCCAAAAGGCCTTAGATCTCATTAATTCATAGGTCTTATTTCTACCTTGATGTCCCCATTCATCATGACATCCTACCAACACATTCTTACGTAAACATTGAGGAAGTAAAACTACCTCTACTTCCCTTCTTCTCTCTCTTCTCTTTGCTGTCTCATTGATCGATTCTCCTTTTCTTTTTTCTGATCTTTCCCGTCTATCTATCTCTCTCTTTAATCTAATCTTTTTACTCTCTTCTAATTTACATTTTTATTTCCCCACCTCTCTACTTTTCTCTCTCTTCCTCTTCAATAGTCAAACCCCTCATTTGCATCTATTTCAAATCATGCAGAATGCAACAATTAAACAATATAATATATCTAAAACTAATATTTTGCCCTTGAAAATTTAGAAATTGCACCCCCCCCCCCCCTCGAGCACCATGGGAAAGGGCCTGTCTTCAAAGAAAGGTCAAATTAACATGTTTTTACTCGTTTTTTTCCGCAGGGGAGGTGGCCTTGGCCCACCTGGATCCGCCACTGGGGTAGGGGGGGGGGGCACATAGGTCCACATATCTTTTTCATTCTGTTGCTCCTCTTTGGCCTCCTCCTCTTTTGTCAGTCTCTATGATTTCCATTCCTTCTCTTTTTTCTACTCTCTTTTTTCTTAAAATCTATCTATCTCCTTTCTACTTCCCTCCTTCTCTTTGCTGTCTCATTGATCGAATCTCCTTTTCCTTTTTTTGATCTTTCCATCTATATTTCTCTCTCTTTAATCTAATACTTTTTACATGTACGTCTCAACCCCCCTCCACCAATCACACCGAAGAAGTACATCAACATATATTGTTCTGCTACTTGGATTTGTCAGAGCTGATATGAAAGGCTTTCATGTGGTTGCTGATTATGATTGTCAACTGTAAAATCAAAAACAAGACAAATAGCCTCCTCACCTTGCACGTAACGACGTGGAGGCGGACAACGTGTTTCGTAACGAGAGAAGCAGATGAGATTTTTCAAAAACACTTCAGATCCAATTCCAGATGGTTTTAGGTAGCCTTTCAACAAAGCCTCGAATTTCACTTTCTCCCTCTGTTAGCATGAAAAAAATCAAATTGATAAATATGTCAAAACACTGTTAACACTTTGCATTTTGTATAAGGCTACAGGTTCTTCACTGATCTACCCTGTTGGCTTTCTAAGAGTGCTTGCTATGCTCATTTGCTTTCAAATGTATATTCCCTTTATTACCCCTAAAAGCTACTCTGTTCGTTTCCTTATGATGCATATTTATTTTGGAGAGAACACCAGGAATAATTTTTCAGATGTCACAATAATGAGACGATTGAGGATTTTTGACAAAAGCTGACAAATGTGATCTTTAAAAACTTTTAATTTCTTTTCAAAGTACTGCATTCCAGTGCAAGTTCATACCAAAATTGGCTGGAATAAAACGTATAAGGCCATTAAAAAAAATATACATGCCCGCTTCCTTTTTGGGGGCCGCCTCCTATTTTTTTTTATTTGTTATTTTTGATTTTTTTTTTGAAAGAAAAAAAACATAAAAAACACTGCTAAAATTGGCTCTATTTCTGATTTAAAAAAAAAAATAATTGTCAGCGGCCATCTTAAAAAAAATAGCCCCGACTGTCAGGGAAAATGTACCGAGCGGGCATTTTGAGCGGCCATTTTGAAATATAAAAATAAAAAATAAAAAGGGCCCCCTCCTTCCTATTTTTCGAAAAAAACAGGACGCTAAACATGTTTTTTTTTTTATTTGGCCTAAGATGCTATCTTGTTTTTTCAATGGCTGGTTCAAATTATTGAATATTTGTGGGGCACCACAAACTAGAAATCGTTATATTTAAGGATATTTCAGCTGTCTCTGAACCGATTTTGATCAAACAAAGATGATTTTGTTATTTAAATTGTATGTTCTTCCAAATTTGACACTCAGTTTTTCGTTATCTCACAAAAAAATGATTGTGTAGCGCCCTCTGCAACAAAACTCAACTATCCCTTTAAATGATCCAAGAAATTTGACCTTTGGCCTGCAGATTCCCATGTCTACTCATTTCTTGTCCTGGTACAGGGAGATACCACATTCAAAGCTAAAGCCAACATGGTTCTTGATATCTCCAGACAATTAACCTCCAATTTTCATCAAAATTAACTTTTTAGTAAGACTAGGTTTTCATAGCCAACCAGATCATACCTGATCGAGGCTGTAATATCTCCCTGCTTTTGCTACATGTTCTTCACGCTGAAGGCCATTCCTCTCAAGGTCATATGCAGGCTGTACTTCCTGAAAAATCAAATTTATAACAAGAATATTTACATAATTAAGTCTACATGTACGGTACATGTAATGTATAAGCATACTGGTTTAATAAGCAAAATAAATAATGGTGACTTTCACTGAAGATGCCCACTACTCATTTAGGGCAAGACCAAAAATATGAATTCACTAAATTTGAAAATGTATACCGGTAGTTACTTACTTACATGCACAACTTAAAGGAGAATTAATCTCTCAACTATGACGTATTATCATGACATAGAGAGTGAAACAACGTTTCATTTAATATAAAAAAAGCATCGCAGTAGGCCAAATAATCGTCTTGCAAGTACAATAAAAAGACCCTACACCTGTACTTCGCCATATTTACAACGTCGTCTGCAGCCCAATGAAGCTGCCACTTCGTTCAAATTTCCCTTCAAAACAGAGAACTGATATAGCGCGCACGCTTTTTACATACCTACCAACATTTGAAAATAAGAATTAGGAATTTTTAGCACGGTATTTCTTTGTAAATTACAAATCACACTTGCAGCGGCAGTGTAACTGGCAATACGCGGTAAATACGCGATAAATCTTTACCTTAGAGCGGATACAAATTCGCTGCTCGATCATACAGCCATAAAACGAACATAATACGTGATCTCTCAAATCGCGGCACATGATAAAACAAGCTTTATTTGGCACACACACACACACTGATGTGTGCGTGTGTGTGTGTGCGTGCTTACAAAAGCACCCACTGTGTGTGTGTGTTTACAAAACTACAGAAAGTGAAAGAGAAACATGAAATACATAGAATTATGTCACTGTGAGACATTTTTGGGGAGATGAGAGCCTGAATTTGGAAATAATTGGTTAATATCGGTGGGTCCCCCAACGCCATGACAAGATCATCCAGTTCCTCGTCAGATGAACCATTCTGATTATAACAAAGTTAGAGATGATACAAATTTCATAAAAACTGTAAAAGCAGAAACTTATGCATTCAATAGACATACCATGCAAGAGGTGACCATGACAAAAATCACCCAGTTCTACATCACTTTTCTATCATTTCAGTTTATCTCTACAAAGAGCTACATGCATTTATACGCATGTATGTCGTGTACATGTAGATGTAATACGTTGCTACATGTACAGCATAGGATGTGTCACTTTAATGTTTTATACTCACCTCGTCCTGTGGTAGGTTAGCCATACCCAGCTTTCTTGTACGAGTATGTATGTAACTGTGAAGAAAAAAAAAAGAACAGTTACAGCAATTTGAAATTCTAAGCTAAGTCGATCATCCTCACCATCATTATTATCATCATCAAATACAATAACAAAACAAACAAAAAATTGTAATAATCATAACAACAATAATAATAAGAACAATGACAATATCAAAACAATAACAATAATAATAATAATAATAATAATAGATTTTCCTCTTTTTGTGACTCTCCCTTGACCTGTCCAGTGTCTACTTCTACTTTTTTCTAGCCCCCACTACACTATTTTTACAGGCCAATTGCAGTTTTTGTCTTAATATGACACTTTAAATGGATTTTGAAGTCAATATAACTTTATAGATTTCCCTTTGGCTTTCCCCAAGACAGATCGATTAACAAGCAAAGAATCAATCTGAATCAAAGTATATTTTTCTTTCATAAATCAATACCACAATAAAAACTGCAAACATGGAGCTTCCGAGACACGTCTGTAAAAACATGAAAGAGTTAAGCACCAATGCGCAAAATTCCAGGACTGCTAAAACAGGCCTATAATGATCCAACTACATTGTACATGTATACCTAGTGCATGTACTACAAAGTCAATGAATGTAGCAAAGGCACTACCGGTATATTACACTCAAAATCACATTAAAACTGTTTCCTGCTGGGGGTCATTTCTTGAAACTGTCATATCTACAAGATCAACGGCATCTCGCCGCTGTCGTTTAACTTATCCACTACGTGTTTCACAAAACTGTCTTTGCCAAGAAGAGCGACAACTTCCACGACAATTCCTTATTGCGACTCCAAACCCGTCATATCTTTTTAGAACGCCATCTCAAGGGAACTTTAAGTTTGTCTATGGGCAGCGAAAAAATGAAACTGAAAATTTATTTTAAAAACGCATTTCTTGATCTTGAACAAGCTCTCATTTCACTGACCAGTTTTGTATAAATGTTAATAAAAAAGTATTGTTCAAGCAAATAAACTATTCTTTTAAGGTTTTAAGGCCTTAATGAGCAAATACGATCAATATTATTTGAACATACATCAGACTACCATAGAAAAATCGCCGAAGATCAAACAGTCTGTATATACACACCAATGAGAATAACAACAATTTTTGTGTACCGGTAGGTTTATATTTTGATATTAAGCATAAATTTGATACAAATTGTATTTAGATAATTATTTGATAAAGAAGTGTTAAAACTGTGAGTGATAATTTTTTTTTCTTCATTATTTTCTTTGCTAGAAATAGAATCAGGGTGTTCTTTCGATTTGATATGAGTTATGGTATCCTCTTACAGTTACATGCAAATTTCCATTCGCTTGTCCCCAAAACAACCTCGAGTTTCATTATTGTTTATATATTCTTAGATGTCTTTTATAACACATGTTTTCGTGCAGATTGGATGTAATTTGTATCATTTGTGCTACCCATCTCTTAGTTTTTACTTTTAAAACAGTTTGAATGAATTTAAGCGTCGTAATCTCTTGATAATTCAGGATAAAATCTGATGGATCGTGACAAAGACTTTATTTCCTTTAGTCGATAGTATCAAAATCATGAATTTGTTGCTGATCATGGTTTTGTGAAACAGGTTGTTCGGTTCCTGACATCCCTGTAGGTCACTGACAAAGATATGACTGTCATGGAGTTAGTTTCATGAAACAGCCCCCTGGAGTCGATCATCCCAGCTCACTTCCTCCAATAAATATCATTTTACATGAAATAAGAAAGTGTGGCAAGGGTTACCATCTGTGTATGGGGAAGGTTGACAAATGTCAGTTTTATTACAGAATTCCCCATACCGGACAATTATTTCTGTATATGTACGTGTCTGCTCTGCTGGCATATATCTGCCTCTGCCTCAGGGCTTCATTGCATTAAAGATAGCTCATTGTGATTGGTTTAAGAACTTTAGGTTTAAAAATTGAATTGGGCACACTGTACAGTGTTGAATTTTATAGGAATTTGTTTAGTGCTAAATTCTAGAAATTGACTGTGGCAATTGTAGAATATACCAAGACAATATTTGTCCAGACATTTGATTTATAACGGTAATTTGTAGAAGTTTACACACATTATTTCATTAATCTTTGGAGACTTATTTAAGAGGGCTAAACTATATTATTTGATGCAGACTTTTGTTAAATCCAAGGACAAAAGTGGTGGCTTCATTTTTTTGGCATCCCGGCACACAACCACCATCAAAACATAGTCTACACTGCTCATACATGTACACGTATGCTATGATATGACATAAATATGTCATACAATCATTATCAAATCAACACATGCCTCGCACAGAAAATATTCTATTCAAAGACTATATATCACAGCCCAGATAACAATACGGCGTTGGGCCAACGTCGGCCACGGTCGGCAGGGTCGCAGTCGGCAAGCCAACGTTGGCTAATCGTTGGGCCATTGTCGCCATTTTTTACTGATAAATGGTGGCTATTGGTTGGCTCATTCGACGTTGGGCCAATGTTGGCTGAACGTTGGTCCATTGTCGCCATTTTCACTGATAAATGGTGGCTATTGGTTGGCTATTCGACGTTGGGCCAATGTTGGCTGAACGTTGGTCCATTGTCGCCATTTTCACTGATAAATGGTGGCTATTGGTTGGCTATTCGACGTTGGTCCAATGTTGGCTGAACGTTGGTTAATTGTCGCCATTTTTCACTGATAAATGGTGGCTATTGGTTGGCTATTCGACGTTGGGCCAATGTTGGCTGAACGTTGGTCCATTGTCGCCATTTTCACTGATAAATGGTGGCTTTTGGTTGGCTATTCGACGTTGGGCTATTGTTGGTTAAATGTTGGTCCATCGTCTCAATTATCACTGATAAATGTTGGCTATTGGTTGGCTATTCGACGTTGGGCTAACGTCGGCTGAACGTAGGTCCATTGTCGCCATTTTCACTGATAAATGGTGGCTTTGGGTTGGCTATTCGACGTTGGGCCAATGTTGGCTAAATGTTGGTCCATCGTCTCAATTATCACTGATAAATATTGGCTATTGGTTGGCTATTCGACGTTGGGCTAACGTTGGATCATTGTCGCCATTTTCACTGATAAATGTTGGCTTTTGGTTGGCTATTCGACGTTGGTCCATTGTCGCCATTTTCACTGATAAATGGTGGCTATTGGTTGGCTATTCGACGTTGGTCCAATGTTGGCTGAACGTTGGTTAATTTTCGCCATTTTTCACTGATAAATGGTGGCTATTGGTTGGCTATTCGACGTTGGGCCAATGTTGGCTGAATGTTGGTCCATCGTCTCAATTATCACTGATAAATATTGGCTATTGGTTGGCTATTCGACGTTGGGCTAACGTTGGATCATTGTCGCCATTTTCACTGATAAATGGTGGCTTTTGGTTGGCTATTCGACGTTGGGCTATTGTTGGTTAAATGTTGGTCCATCGTTTCAATTATCACTGATAAATGTTGGCTATTGGTTGGCTATTCGACGTTGGGCTAACGTCGGCTGAACGTAGGTCCATTGTCGCCATTTTCACTGATAAATGGTGGCTTTGGGTTGGCTATTCGACGTTGGGCCAATGTTGGCTAAATGTTGGTCCATCGTTTCAATTATCACTGATAAATATTGGCTATTGGTTGGCTATTCGACGTTGGGCTAACGTTGGATCATTGTCGCCATTTTCACTGATAAATGTTGGCTTTTGGTTGGCTATTCGACGTTGGTCCATAGTCACCATTTTTACTGATAAATGGTGGCTATTAGTTGGCTATTCGACGTTGGGCCAATGTTGGCTGAATGTTGGTCCATTGTCGCCATTTTCATTGATACATGGTGGCTATTAGTTGGCTATTCGACGTTGGGCCAATGTTGGCTGAACGTTGGTCCATTGTCGCCATTTTCACTGATAAATGGTGGCTTTTGGTTGGCTATTCGACGTTGGGCTATTGTTGGTTAAATGTTGGTCCATTGTCGCCATTTTCACTGATAAATGGTGGCTTTGGGTTGGCTATTCGACGTTGGGCCAATGTTGGCTAAAATAATGTTGGTCCATCGTCTCAATTATCACTGATAAATGTTGGCTATTGGTTGGCTATTCGACGTTGGGCCAATGTTGGTTGAATGTTGGTCTAATTGATTACTGATAAATGTTGGCTTTTGGTTGGCTATTCGACGTTGGGCTAACATTGGCTCATTGTCGCCATTTTCACTGATAAATGGTAGCTATTAGTTGGCTATTCGACGTTGGGCCAATGTTGGCTGAACGTTGGTCCATTGTCGCCATTTTCACTGATAAATGGTGGCTACTGGTTGGCTATTCGACGTTGGGCCAATGTTGGCTGAACGTTGGTCCATTGTCGCCATTTTCACTGATAAATGGTGGCTATTGGTTGGCTATTCGACGTTGGTCCAATGTTGGCTGAACGTTGGTTAATTGTCGCCATTTTCACTGATAAATGGTGGCTATTGGTTGGCTATTCGACGTTGGGCCAATGTTGGCTGAACGTTGGTCCATTGTCGCCATTTTCACTGATAAATGGTGGCTTTGGGTTGGCTATTCAACGTTGGGCCAATGTTGGCTAAATGTTGGTCCATCGTCTCAATTATCACTGATAAATATTGGCTATTGGTTGGCTATTCGACGTTGGGCTAACGTTGGATCATTGTCGCCATTTTCACTGATAAATGTTGGCTTTTGGTTGGCTATTCGACGTTGGGCCAATGTTGGCTGAACGTTGGTCCATTGTCGCCATTTTTACTGATAAATGGTGGCTATTAGTTGGCTATTCGACGTTGGGCCAATGTTGGCTGAATGTTGGTCCATTGTCGCCATTTTCATTGATAAATGGTGGCTATTGGTTGGCTATTCGATGTTGGGCCAATGTTGGCTGAACGTTGGTCCATCGTCTCAATTATCACTGATAAATATTGGCTATTGGTTGGCTATTCGACGTTGGGCTAACGTTGGATCATTGTCGACATTTTCACTGATAAATGTTGGCTTTTGGTTGGCTATTC